CGCCGGCTTCATGACTACATAACCCAAAAACAACTGTGGCTGGCGTCTGCTCTCGCGCCCACTTCTCTCTCGCAACCGCGCCAAGAGGTCGGCGCCGTCATCACCCCGTGTTTACACAGCAGGACACGAAGGCCAGGAAAAGCCAAGACCCCGGCCGGGGTCACACCGCGGGCCGACCCAGGGCCCGAGCCCCGCCGCCGCCCCCAGGACCCACACTTGCCGGAGTCCTCAGCGGGGCCTCACCGTCCCCGCAGGCGCCCCGAGCCCGCACCTCTGAGGACCTGAATCGCAGCGTCGCTGGTGAGCAGTCAACGGCCGTCGACGTCCCGGAACAGCACTGCTCAGAATCGTTCCTGAGTCTAGATGCCGCCGCCAAACCTGAAGCTACCGCGGGACGGATCCTGTATGGCACCCACCGCCGAGCCACATTTCCCAGAATCCTCCGCGAGCCGGACAAAAAGTCTCGGGTGCCGCGAACAGCCGACACCGGAAGACCACACTTCCCAAGAGTCTCTGCGGCAGCGCGATCTTGGCACGCCGCAGGGAAAACCGGTCTTGGCTTCGTAGGAAACTAAACTGCCTGGGGCTGTCGACCCAGAGCCTGCCAGCTAGGACCACGCGCGAAGTGTTCTGAGCACACACACACTCGTCCTCTGTTGACCGATACACCTCCGAACCAAGGGACACCCTCTACTTTTAAGGACCAAGAAACTACACTTCCCAGAAAACTCTGCTGCCGCGCCAAGGTCTTCCGGGTGATTTGTGTGTTCACACAAACGTTTCCCTCTGGGACGTGGGCAGCCCTTGCTGGTTCCGCGCAACGTTGCTAGCAGAGGGGCTCCTCTCATACCGAAACCTTGCCGCTGCACTGTCCACCTTCTGAGCAAACAAGCTTGGGCCTCTTTTATGCGGGCACCAATCCATTCATGAGAACTCCAGCCTCATTACTTAATATCTCCTCAAAGGTCTCACCTCTTAATATTGTCACAGTGGGGATTTGGTTTCAACATATGATACAGTGGCGGAGTCAGGAGACAGACATTCAGATCATAGGGCGCCCTGAATCTTAAACAGCTTCAGCATCAACGCAAACCGGCTTTTCTTCTCCCAAGTACATATTCTAAAATGTGCACTCGACTAGATAGATCCCAACAGCAAAAACCGCTGATTGTAAACATTGCATTATATTAAACAGGAAAGGGACAGAAGGCAGCTACGAGATAGTGGAAGGGAGTAGGTTCAGAATTGCATGTAATGTGTTTTCCTTTCTCCTTATTGCTGTCTTTCTCTCTCTCTGTCTCATTTACTTTCTCAATTGTCTGGCATAATATTTGTTTAAAGCAGACTTGTTTATGCCGGTGATTCTATGTCACGCGCCTCATTTCTCCTTGGTCTCTATTCCGGTGCCTCTATCCTTTCTGCTAACAATGCAAGTTATGGTGTTACTGGAAAAGGGGTCTCGATCCAGACCCCAAGAGAGGGTTCTTGGATCTTGTTCAGGAAGGAATTTAAGGTGAGTCACAGAGTGCAGTGAAAGAAGCAAGTTACTTAGAAACATCATTAGAGAGCAGGAGGCCCTCAGAAAGCAAGAGGAGAAACGTACTGGCTTTAAGTTTTTCTTATACAGGAGTCTTATCTATGAACAGACTAAGCTAAGCTGTGTCTATGTGTGGATGAGCAGGCAGAATGACAAAATTAATTACTGTATTCATTTAAACTAGCCTTGACATTCTAGTGTCAAGCACATCAGAGCATAACTATTCTCTTGAAAGCATATATTGTTATGGGTATTGGGACATCTGGACTCCCCACTGTTGTAGGAGTGTCCCTGTATCTATCTTCAGACTGTTTCCTCAATTATAAACACCTCATGACTATGGCTCATGACCGGCAAGGAATGTAATTTGCTAGTCTCAGAATGGAGCTGTACTTAAAATGGCATTCTCTAGCTCT